AAAAAAAAAAAAAAATTTTCTGAAGCCTACTTCCGTAGACCCACTTTGGAAACTTTGAAAAACTCTAAAGGAGCCTTTCTCATTGATCAATTTATTGATTTACCCAAGGCAATGAATAATTCAAAATTTTAAAAATGACTAACAGTCCATTTAAATTATAAACACTAAAACTTAACCTCAACATTGGAATGTTATCCAAGCATGTGAGAAATGGGCTTTTAAAACTTTCAAAGGCTACACAATTGCAACAAAAGAAAAGAAAAAATTCCTTTTTTTTTTTCTCTTTCTTTTTTCGAGACAGGATCTCTGTCACCCAGGCTGGAGCACAGTGGTACAATCATGGCTCACTGCAACCTCAAACTCTTGGCCTCAAGCGATCCTCCCACCTCAGCCTCCCAAGTAGCTAGGACCACAGGTGCACGCCTCCTCACCTGGGTGATTTTTTTTTTTTTTTTTTTGGTAGAAACAGGGTCTCACTATATTGCCCAGGCTAATCTCGAACTTCTGGCCTCAAGCAATCCTCCCACCTCAGCCTCCCAGGGTATTGGGATTACAGGTGTACAGGCATGAGCCACCACGCCCTGTCCTCCTTAGGTGTTTAAGTTTTATATAATAATTTTTCCCTGTCTGACATTATCTGGGCCATGGTTCCAAAGATGCTCTTGAGCTTGAACCCAATAAACGAGTCCGAACAACAAACGGCCACGGACCTATGGCAGCCCAGGGAAAGAACGTCCAAGAGCGCTGGTGTGGGCAGATGGCAAGGGGGAGCCCCCAGCACACACGCGCTGCCATCTCAGACCTGCCGTCGGAACAGCTCCGCGGCGCCGATCTTGCAGCAGGATGGGCAGCTGCACCTGCCCCTGCACCTGCCCCGCACCTGCCACACCTGCCCCCCGCACCTGCCCCGCACCGTCCCCTGCCCCGCCCGCTCCCGCCCGGCGCTCACCGCATGGTGTAGAGCAGGGTGCCGTCGTCCTCCAGCCGCAGCAGCTTGTTGGGCGTGGTCATGTTGTGCGCTATGGACTTCTTCCCGTTGTGGAAGAACGTGTCTGGGGTCCAGATCTTGCTGGCAAGGAGGTTGTTGAGAGGGAGGCGCTGCATGGGCCCCTTAAACCGGAGCCTTTCATCTTTCCAGCTTTGTCGGAAAAACACGTCTATGGTGTACTCCTAGTGCAAAGGAAGGCACGAGGCAGGTCAGAGGGCACGGGGCCGGGGCGGGGTCCGCGGGGCGGAGGAAGCATTGTCCGCCCAGCCATGCCCCGGGACTTACCATTTCCGTGTCGGACACCGGGCCGAAGCTGGTGACGTAGATGTCGGTCCTCACCTGGGTGATGCGCTCTGAAACACACACACAGGTCCCTCGGCTGCACCGACTCACCTGCGCGTCTGTCACACGCTCGTGCCCGCAGTCCATCAACCAGGGCCACCCTCTGCAACCGGGGGCTTTTGCAGTGCGTTTCGTAAACCTGGAGGACTTGACAATCGCCGGATGAAACCAAGCTGCTCCCCACTATACCACGAAACGAAATTCCCATCCTACAGAACACGGCTTGGCTCTCCCCCTCCTTCTGCCCCCTGGGGAGCAGTCCTGGGAACAGCTGGGCTGAGGCCTGGCTGTGGGGCCTTGGGCTTTTGCAAACACCTGAGCTTCCATTTCCTCCTCTGTAAACTTGGAACAATGATGCCAGCCGGGCAGCTTAGAGCCATGCCATCACCACAGAGAGGGGCTTTAAAAAGGGTCAGACAATTCAGGATGAGGGGAGCTGAATTTCCAATCAGAGCTGGAGGTCCTGGGTGGTCTCTGGGAGAGGATGATGAGAATGTGCCCAGTGTGCCCTGAGACAGGAAGGAAGACCCGCTTCTGCTTATGCAGTATTTTGAATTATTATTATAGAAAGCCCTATCGTGGGAGACTACGATTTCAAACAAAATTATTGCAAATAGGTAAAGTGATAAAAGTGGCTAATAATATTTGGGGGAAAACCTGTGTGGTTCCCTGGGTACTACCAGGGCCCTGTAAGTCCCCGAGGTCATGAGTATGAAGCAATTCTAAGTGCACCCCAGCCCACACCGAGTAACTTCCAGCCGCACGGTGGGGCTGCCTCTCCAGCAGCTGGCGGTGTGATGATCGTCCGTCTGCATGGAGTGCATCTGTGCGCGGGCAGGTGTCTACGTGATGCTGTGTGTTGTATGATACAGTGTGCCTGTCTCCTCATTGAGATGCCAGCCCCAGCAGGGTGGCCTGAGAGGCTCTCCGTGGTCTCCTCCCACTCTGCAGGACTGGAAGGCAGGGAGGATGACAGAATACCACAAGCACTGACAGCAGCTTAGGGCTCCTCTAGATGCTCTGACCCTTCTGAGTGTGTTCAAGGGACTGGATCGCTGGGCACAGAGGCCTAGGAACATAATTCAGAGGGCAGAGTAAGAGACTGTCAAGGAGCCTGTGCCCAAAAGGCAAAGAGTAGCCACTCATGCTTTAAATGGATCTCCCTGTTAAAAATGCAAATACTAGGCAGGGCACGGTGGCTCGTGCCTGTAATCCCAGCACTTTGGGAGGCTGAGGCAGGGTGGATCGCCTGCGGTCTGGAGTTTGAGACCAGCCTAGCCAACATGGTGAAACCCCGTCTCTACTAAAAATACTAAAATTAGCCAGGCCTGGTGGTGCACGCCTGTTATCCCAGCTACTCTGGAGGCTGAGGCAGAAGAATCGCTTAAACCTGGGAGGTGGAGGCTGCAGTGAGCTGAGATCATGCCATTGCACTCCAGCCTGGGCAACAAGAATGAAACTCCATCTCAAAAAAAAAAAAAAATGCAAATACTAGAGAACTAAATTTTGTCCTCCAAGAATGTATTCACTGGAAAGTATCTACCTCACCTAACCCAACAAGTTCAGACTCCACATCTAAACTGGAAACTGCACACAATTCTTAGCACAGCAATGAAGCTGTGCCAGGTGTGCCCTACCGAGAGCAATCTACATCAGTTCATTTTTATTGAATTCCATAAAGTCAAAGTAAATACTAGGACTGTGGCCACAGTGAAGCATTAAATGTATAACCCATAAAGCTATAAAGGATGACTGCGTTCCACAGTGGATTTCTGAAAAGGACTCGCATAGATACAAGAGTATGAGGTTGATTTTATATTATTTCTTAACATAGGGGAATCTCAGCGTTAGTAACACCTAAAAGCCGGTTCCTCCTTAAGTTAACCAGACTAGACATTCAGATTATCTGGGAAGAGGGGATTTTGCAAAGATGCTTGGGGGAGACCACTTCCCCCAGGTTCTTGCGTCTAGAAAATAACAGAGGAGGCATGATCCTTGGCAAGAGTGGAACAGCCATCAAACCAAAATCCTGGCAGGGAAGCTCTTTCAGAAATTGTTTGAATCAGCGCAAACACAAGCTTGAGATGAGGCGTCAGCCCTTCCTAGATCCTCGCCGGGCTCAGCCGAGGGCAGCACACTCACCTCCCAGCCCGGGCCGAAGTCTGTTGTCATAGCCATCCAAGAGCCCATCCAATATCCTGGTAAATATCGTGATGTTGTCATTGGTCTCATCTTTCACTGAACTGGTTGGCATCTGTGAAAAGCTTTTAAAAAGAGAAACAAGAGAAAGCATTAGAACATATTATCTCTTACAAATTCTTCTCAAGATACAGAAACCAGGGAGTCACGTGGAGGCTTGTCTCCTGAGACCAGGATCTGAGAGCACAGCTCCCACACTGCCTGGGGGATTATTTGGCCTCGATACACCTCAGTTCTCGAACATCCAAGGATACTCTGCTTGGGGCTAGTTATCCAACCACCTAACCTGAGGCTCAAAGTCTATCATTCTGTGATTCTGAGGAGTTGGTTTATGTCAATATTTTAGCCGTTTTAAACAACCAATTAGCGATTAGCCACTGCGCATGGACTGGCAGAGCCTAATCCACTCACAGGGGATTTCAGAAGTGTGGTTTAAACACACAAAAACCGAGTTCTGGTATTGCTAGAGTCACCTGCAACTGGGCACTGGGGCGTGGTGGCAACGCTGTGCCCAAACCTCGCTGCATCCTTAGTTGGACTGGGAGCATTTGTGCTGTGAATGATATGCTAGGACTGGGGAGTGAGTGACAGACATGATGGAGTCTGTGTCATCTCTGGGGTCCTGCCCCTTCAGTGGGCCAGCTCCCAGCACATTCTGTGGGACCCAGCATCACAATAAACCCTCAAGAAGAGTGGGCTGAGCCTCAGGGAAGACACAAGAACATTTTTTGTTTGTTCAATTAAGTTATCCAGATTCCAAAAGCTTATGTAGTATGAACAGAACAAAACTAGAAACTGCCTTAGCAGATCTAGACAAACTGAGGATGGTATCGGGGGGACAGAGAGACCACAGGCCCAGAAGACAGACCCACAGCTGAAGAGCATGGATCCCACCTCAGGTTTCCACAGCTGCTTTCGGATGTGCAAATAGCAACCGGTTTTGAATGACTGAGCACTTGACTGCAAATTTGGCTTCAAGGGGACTTACCAAACTGAAAGCCAGCTGTGGTTCCCAAGAAGTGAGGGCCCTGGGCACTTGGGAGAAGAACACGTGATTCCTGGTACTTCCCTGAAGTGCCTGGCTGTGGGGCCCTAGCTCTGCTTAAGGCGCTTTCTCTCGCATGAAAGGGCTGAAATCCGGGCTGAGAGCCACCAGACATGGAGAGATGCTGAGGTCAGAATCGATGCCGGTCTGCTCCACCCTGTTCTTAAAAGTCAGTCATTTTCATTGATTGCATCTAAACAGATCAATTCTTTGCTAGCCCTAAAGCTATTCCCTTTTGAATAGAAAAAGAGAATAAAGAATAAAAGAATAAAGTTCTTTTGCTCTAATTTTCACATCCCCATAAAAATGCATATAGTTGAAGCTCTAACAAGCTAAAATTCATTCCTGTTAGTATGGAGCCCACAGACGTATACTTTTTTAACTCTGTGATTTCATATTTAAAGACATTAAATTCCCCTTTCTCTAACATCCCGTTAGTTGCACACTTCGGAAGGACAAAGCACTAAGCCTAGCATAGCTCCTTCCAGTGAACAGCTTTCTTCTTCAGGGTTTTGTGGGAGGAAGAAAGAAGGTTCTATTTTGTACCTGCCCAGTTGTGTAACTATTGGTCAAACCAGATCTGGCCTCATGATGGACTTCATAATTATCGTCGAGTTTGCAACTCAATTTTAGGCCATGTCCAGGTGCTCAATTTTGGGAAGGTCCTTGTTGTCTCTTTATCGTATCAATTGAGGTAGTAGTAGAAAAAGCAAATCTTAATGTTGAAATTAAAGTTTTCTAAGCTACTTCTCTGTTGTGAAAATGTTCCTAAACTGTGTTAGATGGTAACAGCCCTGGCTGTCCAGAGTCAAGGGCTTGACTTCATGACTGACCATTCGGAGGCTGTGCAGCCGCCGTGATGTCTCTGTGAACATTGTTTTCCGTGGCTCTCTCCAGAAGTGGAGATAAAGACACACTGCTCTGCCAGTTTTAGGGAAACACCATCCCACCAGGCTCTGATTCCCACTCACAAATACCCTAATCAATTCCCACAGTGATGGAACAGAATGCTATGCTTAAGAATTTCAAAGCTCGGATTCTACTTCTTGATCAAAATTATTTTCATTAGTTTCGGTATATCTACACACATCTGCACATAATTACACTTTTCTTGGAGGAATTTCAGTGTCTGCCCTTTCCTGCCATAACTACCTTTTGCATTTACCTGTAGACCTTTCTTTGTATGACAGGGGCCATGGCAGGGGATTTGCAGTGTTGTCCTTGCTGTATTAACTGAAGATAGCTGCTGGGAGGGAAGAAACAGATTCTTAAAAAGCTCTGACGATGCCTGTCAGGGTAGGAGCAGAGGGTTTTGTTTGTTTGTTTTTTGTTTTTTCATGAACTGGGGGCCCTCCTCTGTCCATAGACCATCCTCAAAAATGCTTCATCTGCAGTGTGTGGTTATGAAATACGCCGCTTCCACAGCCATGGAGAGAAAGGCCCTTGCTGTATCATAGAAGGCAAATGCTATGTTTTCTCAGCCCCTGGTGTGTAAGTGCCTTCATACAGGAGACCTTCACAGATGCCTGGGGAAATGGCTAGGGCCTCTATCAAGCTACATGATCTTTAAGAACTGCTGCTAAGCTAAGGAGGAACTTCAGCTGGCTTTGTTCCATTTTGGCTCGTTGAAAGCACTGGAAAAACAACACAGAAATCCAGGGCTACGCCTTTGGTGAGCAATAATGTGCAGCCTGTGACGGATGAGTCCTACAGGTGGAAACCAAGATGTCCTCGGCCCATGAAGCGCTCACCCCGTTTAGGGTCAGCAGGCAGCCTGGACTCACTGACACTCCACTTCTGCTTTGCTTAACTGCACTGAGTACAGCCCAGGAGCTCTGCTCATCCTGAGGTCGACCAGAGTCCACCAGAGTCCACGAATGCTTCAAGGACAAGTAAAGTCTCCGCTCTTTGGGGAAGCGAATTTTTGTGAGCTGAGATTACATCCCTATTACTAACAACAGTCTTAGACGTAATAGAAATACTTGAAAATTTGGTGACTTACCCTTCAATTTTAGTCTGGGTTAATTCACTAGGTTCTCTTAAAATAGGAATTAGTTCCTTATATTGAATGCATATTCTCTACAAAACATGTCCCACTTATGCCATATTCTCAGTTTCAACATTTTCCTTATTTGGTACTTGAAAGAGTACAAGTTGTGGCGTCACTTCTGGAGAAGAAAAAGTCATTTCGGTATTGTCATTCCACGACGGGTGCTAGTGAAGGCAGTGTGTGATGTGCTTCTTTGTGATGTAATCTTCCTTATATGGATGACCGCTTCTGACTTACGTAGAGTGAGTTCGATGATGGCAACTGCAGACGTATTTTGATTGGAAATTACTTTGGACGTTGAACTGGGTTTGTTTGTTTTAAGCTGCAGCTTATCCGTCTTCTTAAATTTTGTTCTTCCCCAGTATTCAATGACTTCTTAAAAAATGTCTCTTCCGTTTATTTGTCCGTTACTTTCAGGTCATTAAATGAGTACCTCTAAATGGCACCATTGTGTGATGTTTTCCTCAAATGCCCATTACCCATCACTTAAGCATCATATTAGAAAAACAACAGCAATGTAACAGAAAAACAAAACCAAGATGCACACTGGCTGGACAGTGAGGGTCAATCCTAGGGTTCCAAATAACAGCTTTCCCCTCTTAAGGTAGAAAACATGGACAGACGCCACATTGTTTTATGAAGCTCTGAGTCTGTGCCATGGAACACCATGCTAGAACGCTCCGATATTCCTGCCAAATCCTAAAATCCCCCAGTTCTCCCTGCAGCTCCCAAAATCCTGCTGAAGTGCATGCCTCACTCTTCACGGAGGTTCTGCATTCTTGCCCTTGACACTGCTGCCCAGCTTAGAATCCTGCTGCCCACAAGGTAAAACCCAAGTCCTCTGGTCCCACAGGCCAGAGCCACCTCTCCCACCCTGCCCTCCTTCCTCGACTCAGCCCCATCCCTCCTTCCAGACACACTGGGGGTCCTGCATAGGTGATGACACAGTGATGCTCCATCCCAGTCCTCACACACGTTCTCCCCATTCTCTCACCATGGCCATCAGCAAGCACATCCGCTCTAATATCACCACTCTTTAAAAGAGCCTTTCATTCACCCCACATTCCCTTCCAGTCACTGCTCCATTCTCTGCCCGTCTTCTCATGAAAACTCACTGGGAGGTTTGTCTGTATGAGCAAACCCCGTTGCCTCCCCTCCCTTCTCTTGCAATGACTCTGCTAGGCCTTCACTGCCTGCATCCCAAGGAAGCTTCTCTTCGGGAGGCCAGGAATGAACTCCACATGGCCAAATCTGAAGATGAAGTCTTAGTCCTCAGCTTAGTTGACCTGTGGGCAACATTCCTACAACCCCTTTCCGCTTGACCTCAGGGCGCAGCTCTGTCTTTCTCTCTACTTGCCTCTTCCCCTCAGTCTTGCTGCCGCCCTTACCTTCCTGACCTCAGAACACAAGCATGCTCCATGGCACCATCCAGACACCCTTTCCTTTCTGTCTGCACTTAACCTCTGACTGTCTCATCCAATCCAGTGACTTAAATACTTCCCAATGTATGGAAACACCTCAGGTCCACACTTCCAGCCCAATCCCTCTCTGTCCTCCAGACCTCTACATCCACTGGGAGACCTAGCAGTGTCTCCAGGGGCTTCTATGAACAGAACAAAACTAGAAACTGCCTTAGCAGATCTAGACAAACTGAGGATGGTATCGGGGGGATAGAGAGACCACAGGCCCAGAAGACAGA